CACAGCCTCTTTTTTTCCGGTCTTCCCGGTCTACCAAGGACCCGGCCTGCCGAGACCGGGGAGTCTGGGTCCTCCGGAGGACCCGGCCTGTCGTTTTGGACACAGCCAACGGCCTGCTATGCTTGAATAATTATTTGATATAACAGCCTGCCGTACTTCAATGATTATTGGATACAACAGCCTGCCATACTTCAATAATTATTGGATAAAACAGCCTGCTATACTTCAATAATTATTTGATACAACAGCCTGCCATACTTCAATGATTATTGGATACAACAGCCTGCCATACTTGAAAAATCATATAATACAGTGGCCTGCTGTGCTTCAATAATTATACGATATAACGGTCTGCTATACTTGAATAATTATTTGATACAACAGCCTGCCATACACATTTCATTAATATTATATAAGTAGTTTTAAACTTTTTATCAGTTTCAAAAAAACTTTTAGTTTCAAAAAGTTTTTTCACTTTTAAATCTAATATTTGGTTTGAATTCTGATTTCTGTTTTAAATAAATCATCAGTTAAACCTTCATCCAGGACTGGAGGATAATTAAACACTTCTTGTTTTTTAGCTGCAGCAGTTTGTGTCTGAATGACATCACTTCCTGCTCGACTTATGTTGCTTCTCTTCTCACCTTTTCTCACCACGACTCAGCGTTTCTCCAGCAGAGAACCTGTCCGTGTAAATTTGGATCATGGGGTTAGCCGTGCGTTTTGTATAATTTAGCGTGGCGTGACGGTTTCTGTGTTTGTTCCAGACCAGGAACGCGTTCACCGTGACCCACGTCATCGTCCCGAAGCAGTGCGGCGGGCCGGACTACTGCGACACTGAAAATGAAGAGGAGCTCTTCCTCATCCAGGACCAGTACGACCTCATCACTCTGGGATGGATCCACGTGAGTGGAGACGGGCGTCTTCTCGTTTATTTATTTATTTTTTTAAGGTTTGTGATGAAACAGTGTTTGTGTTTGCAGACCCACCCCACTCAGACGGCCTTCCTGTCCAGCGTGGACCTCCACACCCACTGCTCCTACCAGATCATGCTGCCCGAGGCCATCGCCATCGTCTGCTCGCCCAAGTTTAACGAGTGAGTGCAAACTTTTACCCCAGCGTTTAGTCGACTTTAATGTGGGTTTTCGGCTCCGCTCTGACCGGGCCTGGTACTGTCCCTGTCAGGATCGGTTACTTCAGGCTAACGGACCGAGGATCAGAGGAGATCTCCACGTGTAAACAGAAAGGCTTCCACCCTCACAGCAAAGACCCGCCTCTGTTCACGGTGAGTGTGCTTTCAGTTTCACCTCTTCTTCAGTGGGTCGCTTCACAACCTGGACTGGTCCAAAGGTTACGTTGACTCCAAACATGCCTCCTGAATTAAAACTGTTTATAACCTGTTGATATTAAATTATTTATGTGTACAAATCACCGTATGACAGCATTAAACCACCTGGTAATAAACCACGTCAGGTTTATTTGTGGTCCTAACGAAGCCTGGCTCTTTTAGGTCAACAGGTAAAACATGGAAACACCATCGTAATTTTGCAAATTCAACAAGCTAAAAAAGCACACACACACACACACATATATATATATATATACGTAGCATCCATGTTTAGCTAACTGTGTAAACAGCGAGCAGAACGTGACGTCTTCATGGACCAGAACCTTCCGACCTGCGGTGTGAACACTTCAGCTGTTTCTGCTGACGTTTAACTGAAGTCTTTGTTTTTGTTTTTGTTGCAGCACGCGGGACACGTGATCATCACGGAGGGCTCGGTGTGCGTGATGGACCTGCGGTGATCCGGCTCACCGACACACTCACAGACTCTTTTATCAAAATGAAGATGTTTTATTGAAAACAGGAACACTCGTTTTTTTTTCTTTATTTTATTTTTCCCCTTTTCAGGACGGTTCTGAGACAAACTGGCCGCGAGTTTACCATTTGTTCTGAAGGACAACCTTTTATTTTATTTTATTTTATTTTATTTTATTTTATTTTATTTTATTTTATTTTATTT